CAGCTGGCCCTACTAAAAAGATTTTCCCCCTCTTTCCTATAGGCCCCCTTTAGGTACTGAAAGGCCGCAATCAGGTCTCCCCGCAGCCTTCTCTTCTCCAGGCTGAACAAGCCCAACTCCCTCAGCCTGTCCTCATAGGAAACCGCGGCGCTTCCCGGAGCTGGCAGCAGGACGAGCCGAGCCGAGCCTGCAACCTCTGGGCTGCCCCAGCAAGAGCTTCCCGGGACAGCGGGAGCGCTGCTGCTGCAGAGGTGCTCGGTCATACCTTAAAATCCACAACAACGGCCACAGAGGATCCAGGCACTCCGCACCTGCACGTTTGCTAATGCAAAATCATTGTACGAGGGAAGCTATGCCAAAAAAGCACCTTCTTGAACATTTCCTATGAGCAGCTGTCTTGGTACTGCATGACTGACCAGCAGAGAAGCAGCTGCAATGAACGACCCAGCATCTGAAAGCAAGCTGAACCTGCAGCACTACATTCTCCAAGTCTTCTGCATTAGCCAGCAGACAAGAGCATGCAGAGATTGTCTTTTCACTTGAAGTGAAAAGAGGGACAGTAAGCAGGACTCAGACCTAGGGGCACCGGCGCTGTTTTGTAGCTGTTCAGGTATAGACTAAAGCTGGAGCTGTGCTTAGTCACCAACACACAACATTCACGTCAGCACAGTACGTTTCCCCGATAGCTACTTTCCACTCCAGCCTCCCTTACTCCCTTTCCTCTAAGCCCTCCACAGCCACCTGGTCTGATCAGGCAGAAACACACGGCACAGGGAGAACACAAGGACCACCTAGACTTCTCAGGCCTGTGCTCTGTCCCTGGGCTTTACTCCAAAACAATGACAAAAGCATCAAACATGTCTGGGTTTATTTATTTTGTTAAAAGGCTCAGCTGTTCAACTGCAGGGAGAACAGCCCAGTACCAATTTCTCCAGTAATACACTGGCCAGACCAGAGACAGAACACAACACCCAGCAAGGCTCCTCTGTCAGCACAGATGGTTTCAGCATCCCCCTAGAGAGACTGAAGGAAAGGTAGACACAATGGCCAGCCCATGCCAGGATTTGGAGAGAAGTCTAAAACAAGCAAACGCACTGGTGTCTTCTTTTCATCATTATGGAAGGAGTCACTGCACCTTCACCTGGAATGACAGTATTCCCTCATGCTCCCTTCTGTGTCCAGCTGACCGTGTGCATGCTGCCACACAGGTCTGCTTTTGTTGGAGGATGGGAAGACAAAGCTACCGTAGGGTTAAATCCAGTGACATTTCCTCTGTTATCAGACTTTGTCTCTCCCTTCTCCTACTGCAAGTCTTGGTCATTGATTTGGTAACCCAAAAAAGCAATCTGTTAAAACTTAATTTAAAGAAAAAAAAAAAAAAAAAAAAAAAAAAAAAAAAAAAGCACAACACACC